GATTAGCACTTAATCAGCAGTGAAGGGAAGGGTGGGGAAAATGACAGATGGGAGGAATGAGATATGAGGTAATATACTTTCAGGCTTTACAGACAGAAGCAAAACACAAATGCCTTTGGAGCTTTGCAGCTGACTGATTATTCAAAGACGACATGAAATGAAGGGACTTACTGATAATCGAGTTTAGAGTCACATTGTGGTTGGAGAACAATGATTGTGTTTAAAGGTGGAAAACACTAATTTAGCAGTGGTTTTGCCTGTGTAACACACTGAATATACAATCTCATCTGAGCCTGGATCACAATATCATCCTGAGAAGATAAATATCCGAGTCCCAGTAGGTTGCTATCCCTGGTTCAGATTCATTCTTATTTAATATTCTTCTAAGATTCAATTTATATCACACAGATATAATGTCTGCCGTAATCTCTTCTGGGTCCCAGTATTATCTATTAGGTGGTCTAAATGGATGTTTATTCCTCTATCCTTTTGTCAAACCTCTGTCACAACTCTGCAAATGCCTGTGGTCGCCTCTTCCTGTCATAACTGTCAGATACGATATTATCTGGATGGAGGCAGAGCAATATCGACAGACAACAGCACAAGCACTGTGCGGAAGCAGCGCGGACAGATACACCATGGTAAATGTCAGCTTTAATTGGATGCTTTAAAGCTTGAATCGTTTAAATATTGCCCATCAAGACCAAATAAACAGCATGACCCCTGATGACAGGATGTGAAGCTAATATGCACCTGAGGGTAATAAATTCAGCCATCTCTGGTATTAACAGCTGCTAAGGGAGGACAAATACCAAGTCCAAAGTGAACTGAAGGGCATTCCAGTTTGCTTCTTATTTGTTTGTTTAGCTCATTAGCTCACGTTACAGATGTCACATCTAGTTCACCTTGCCACAAGCATAACACTGCAGTTGATGAGGATTTGGGTAAGCAGTGGAATACTGAAGAAGCAGCATTAGTGCAGTTTCAGTTTAAAGGTTATTCTGAGTGAGAGAATTTGTCTACAAAACCACTTAAGGATTAGCAAAAAAAAAGCGCCTCTATCTCTGCAACTATTAGCAATGCTACGGCCACATGGCTTCATGTCTGTCCATCACTGTAGTCCAGACTGAAGTATTCCAACAAGTATGGTACGGATGACAATTAAATGTTAAACACACACTATCCCCAGAGGATGAATCCTGCTGATTTTTGTGATCCCCTGACTTTTCCTTGCGAAACGACAGGGTTGACATCTTTTTAATATATAATAATTATTTTTAATAAAACGTCTCCACAAACTATTGGATGAATTGAAATTAAATTTGGAACAGACATTCATGTTCACAGAAATGACAAGATGAATCCTCTGACTTTTCATCTTGCGCGAGCATCAGGAACATTTTTCTATTTGCCCAATGCTTTGGTTTCTGACCGAAAACCTGCAAAACTAATGTTCTCCTCTCTAACATCAGCATGTTAGTGTTGTCATTGTGAGCATGTTAGCATGCTCACATTAGCATCTCGACAGTCTATGAAACTCTTGTTGGTCCTTTGTTGTCATCAGCTTTCAGTGGATGAATAAGACAGACAGTAGCAGCAGCGGGATCCTCCACCGATACAAAAACAGTACCCTGGCAGTTCTTTCTTAACCTTTGCAATGGCGGCCAACAAAACAATCTCTGCTCAAAGTCCACTTTCTGACTTGTTCTGGAGCTTTCAGCTGTTTTACACAGTCCTCATCAGCAGATTGAGTTTGCTCAGTTTTCCATTCAGCTGTAGAAGTTTGCACTGTTTTTGTCGACCAAGCAAACTTAGTCTGCTGATGAGGACTGTGGTGTCCGAACAATAATGCTGCGATGATGTGTTGAGAAGAAATCCACTTGACACTGTTCTTGATCATAAAAGTTTATTAAATCAAGGAGTTCAGCATCAATTACAAGCTCTGCAGCAGCTTGGAGTGTGACCCAGCCCGATGGCCACTCTGTCTCTCTGTACATCAAACATAGCTTATATAGGATATGTGTAGGTATTTGTTAGGTACCATAGAGTGGTTTGAGTCTGCAAAATAAAAGGTCAAACCCATAGAAGGGTACAGTACTATTCTGAGGTAACAAAACAAGGTGTTGGGGTTCAAATTCTATAGAAGGGTTCAGTCCCTACATAACCACCAATCACTGCTCTCCCCGTAGAAGGTCACTGACCCTCTGTCCTGCTGCTACAGTGCTATTTTGAACTGTTATGAGTCAAATGCACAAATATTGGATACTACAGGACCATGTGATGACAAAGCTGAAAGCTTTGGAACAAGCATGTGAGTGCACCTTGAGTACGGTAACTGTTTTCACCATCACAACTTGGAGGAAAAGGAAGATGTGCCCTGTAGTTTGGCATACTGACCTACTGATGTGAACCTGGTGCAGGTGAAAGATATGTGCAAACCAGATTACAGCCACACAGCGAGCTGGAGTGAGAGAGATTAGTGGGCATTTTGAAAGGGGAGAAGGGAGAGGATTTAGAAGGATGAGGGAGAAGAGAGGACGGAGGATTATGGAAGACAGAGCCTGGATCCCAAAATAATCCTCTCAGTATACTGGGCTTTATGCGCTGTGGGGCAGAGGCCAGTTTGAGATATTAAATTATCTTTGCATGCTGTTGCATGCAGTTTGAATGTGCAGAAAACACTTGTGATCATCTCCATCACCACCTCTGTTTTAGAAGAGGTGTTTGATTTCTCCTTTAGTTTCTCTCTCTCTGGCCCAACACGCACACGCAGAGTGCACAAACACACACACAGTGACAGGCGCGTTCATTCCATCTGCCTTAATCTGGAAAGCTGGTTGGGAGCTACATGCCCGTATGTTAAGCTCTAAGCGCCTCCTTCTTTCCATGCTCCATGTTCTAATTTGGTTATTTCCATGGTTACATAAGATTCAGGGTCAGGAGGTCAGTGACGTTGCAGCCGAACACCGGATGGATGTGTGGCTGCTTCATGGCGACAGAGGGACACACTGAGGGACATAATATAACCAGAGAAAGGCGGCAGATGAGGTTCAGGAAGGAAACCACCAGAGTGACAAAACCATCTAAATGGGAGGAAGAGGAAGTTTACAGAGAATATAGTAAAGCAAAGCAGTCTTTATTTTCCCAGCATTGTATTTTTAAATTGTGCATTCAGGAAGAAGCAATACACAATTGCTTTGTATTCATGTTGCAATGCTTTTTTTGTTTCAATTTAAGCAATTGCAGGAGAGCAGAAGTGGGAGATGCAGGACCTATAGAAAAGTATAGATAAAGGGCATATGTACACAAGCATGAGAGCATAGAGGAACAAATAAGAGAGAGATAAGAACATAAAGCATGAACACTGCTGGTGGTGCTGGGAGACTGCAGGTAAATGTATGACCTTTGATTTAGACATGATTCAGGATAAAAGCATTCAGACTGAAAAAAGACGGATGGGAGACTCACCACGCATGCACGCCAGAAAGACGAGGGAGGGAGGGGTGTGAAAGCTCTGTGTTGTTCCACTAACCTACTTTCCATAATCTCCCTCTTCTCCTGATTTCATAACTGTGCCCAAGTTACATGATACGCTCGTCATCTTACCCACGCTTGCAAATCAATTGTTTTCATTGGCACTGTTATTAATGGTTTTGGTTTGTGTCATAGGCAGAGTCAGAGTGTGTGCCTGCTCTCTTTCTACTGCACACACCCACATTTCAAAGGAATGAAGATGTACCCGATGAACTGAAATATACTAAAGATAGATCAAACATAGTGGTTGATTAAGCTTTACCCTTGCTGCTATCTTAATGTAACCTGAATTTCAACATTTCATGAAATGGAAAACAAGAAAATGCAGCACATGTAATTCCTTTACCAAGATTAGTGTTAATCCAGTGATATAATGCAGAGTTGTTGCACCGTTGCATCTAGGAAAACTGAGGACACAATAGCTTCTCTTCTAGTATATATGGGTATTTAATTCAGCAAAAAATTAGTACCACAACCCATTTTGCCATTATTTCAAATGTTGAATCCCTATTTGTAATATATCAACTGGGCCATTGTTGTATGGATGTTTGTAGTCATTCTTATTCCATGTTTAATGTCTAATGCACTATAGCAGGTCTAACCTTTTTTTAGAGCAAGCTATGAAAACACTACAAGCACCATATGGAATAAATAAGAAAATAGCAAATTAATTATCTGTGCTCTTTAATGAAATATTAACAGTAGTGTATATCCATGAAACTAAAAGTGATGTTAAAGTACACATTTTACAGTGTTATGGTACCATAAAGGATCATTCTAGTGGAGGTCTTAGCCCATTATTATACTTTCCATTACACCTATAAATGTATAGGCTACTATATAGCTTTTGGTTCCTCTCTGTGGTTACATGTTGAAATTAATTTCAATGTGTAAGAAAAAATCTGTTTTCAAAAACTGCAGCAGTTTTTGCCACAATTAGGCTACTTTTGTACTTTCACTTATCACAATTTAGTGACATAACTAACAGAAAACACAAAAAAGCTTGATTTAAGCTGTGAGCTGGTCTCTGCTATTGATTTTTATGTGATTTATGGCATAGCCTATGAAAACGGGAAAACGTCACATAAAACGTGTTTATAAATCTCCAATCCAGTCATTTATAGTCTATAGGCCAATGTTTTCATGGGGACCTCGTCCTTGTAATATTAATGTATAACATGGAGGCCTACCATAGGCCTAGTTGCTTTTCATTGGGGAATAGCCGGAAAGTAAAATAAAACTTTGCTGCTTCTTATTAAAGGACGGGGATCTTCCAGGAAATAAAATGTTGTGCTTGTTATTAAATATTTCCCACGCTGGTTAACTGTCGGTCGGAGCTGACACACTGCCTCACTTTCCCACGCACGCGAGAGCCTGCTTAAAGCGCGCGCAGGGTGTCGCGCGCGCGTCAGCTCACGGGGCACGAGGCGGGCGGACAGCGGGGTGAGGAACATGTGTTGTAGTCCACGCGCCGAAACTAGGTAGGTTGCAGCGAGCCGCAGAGCGAGACACAGCTGAGAGACGAGGAGCCGCTGCTTTAATATTCTGTAGGCGTTTTATCCCATGAGCAATTCTGAGACTGTGCGGAGCGGACAGAAAGTAAATTACTGAAAAACGCCGTAGCTTGTATTTATTATTATAAGGCCCGCGCGTGAAGAATAGGTAGAAAATCCATATGAGGATTTGCTGTTGTGACAGTTTTCAGCTGCTCCGGTTTGGAGCTAATAAGTGCGCGTCGCTCTCAGTGTTTCTTGTCTTCATTTCCACCTGGAGTTGTATGACTTGAAGAGTTGGCTACACTTCACCGCCGACATGAGAGGTGAGTTTGTGGAAATTCGTTAGAACTTATTTTTTGACAGCCGGACATATCTGGTGTTTGCAAATAACTTAACTGAGTTGCATTTAGAGTGACGAAGGCACTGCTTTGAGTGAGAGTCCGAAGTGCGTAGGCTGCTGGCGCGCACTGGAATAAACTCTAGCCTGCACCGGGAAGGGAAATAAAAACCTATTTGTAGGTTGTTTGTAAAATGATCACCTTAAGGACACTGAAAATTGTTTAGACACTGTGTAAGCTTAATATGCGTATGTTAGGATTTTAAAAAGTGGATGATTTTAATTAATGCATATATACATTTCTGTGCGCAAAGGTTCGAACATGGGTGTGTTTTGTCTGTTTGGAGAAATTGTATGGGTTTTGTGCACTGATTTAGTTTTGCCTGTGTTGTAGCTGTGGTTACTTTATTTCACCGGTAAGCGACTCCGGTTATGTAAGAGGGGGCAGGGAGGGGGTGAGCGGAGTGATTCAGAGGCTGTCAACCCACACGACGATCTGTGGGCAGGGATTGTTTACAATGAATAAATAGTCCCTTTTGTAGTCCCTCCCTTTCTGTTTGCTGTATTTTATTACACTTTCGAATCACTTTTGTATGATCTAACCATTAGCATTACAATTTTAGTGCTGAGATCTTTGAGTTAGGCTATTCTTTTAATAAGCATTATGTCTTCATGCCTGCACAGATTCGTGTGTCTTACTGTGTTTTACGACAGTTTGTTCATCAGCCAGCGTGTTTTTGTTTTCAACGTTAGCAGTGTGGCGACCAGTGTCAGAGGGTGCGAGAGAGAGAGAGAGGAGGCGCTCCATTGACCTAGTTCTGTCATTGAGGATTACAGCAAGTGTGTGTGTGCTTGGAGGTGGGGAGGCATGGATTGTCCTCATAACTGATGAGACATTGTTGATCATAAACTGAAATCAGTTGTCAAGGCAAAATTCTCCTCTTTAAAATAGCTATATGAGCTGCACTGGAAGAGCCATATTTGAATGCACCATGCAAGATGCATGCTGCTTTTTATTACTTTTTCTTACAAAATAAAATCATTATTTTTATGTGAAATTCTGTGACGATTTCATTTCTGAAAGATAAAATGATGTTTATATCTAATTTTACTCATAGTATACGATTACTATAATGATTACGATTTAACAGTTAAAAAGTATGTGTTTGGTTATGATGTCATGCACACTGTGACAAGCAGGATGTGGGCACAGCAAGCTCAGTTTCCTCTGTCAGCTAATGTTACTTAACATCAATCAGAGTGTGTGTCAATCCAATCAAGTGAAGCTTGTCAACCTGGTTTTGTAAAAAAAACAACAAAAAACCCAACGCTATGACATTATTTACAGTCTTCCCCAGTCTTCTACTGAATTTACTATAGGAGATCAGAATCAAAGGTATGGTGGTAGCAGTAAAGAAGAAACGCTGCTCTCTGTTCTCAAGACCACTACTGTGCTGAGCCCAGGCTCAAAACCGCTATCTCTGTGTGTGCAGCCTTGGGAAGGTTCCCACCGAGCTACAGTATGTGTCAAGGTGCCCTTTCTCTCTGACAACTTCACGCTAAGATTCCCTTCCCCTTATCTGAAGCTTTAACTCTACACCCAGCCTGCATGGTAGTTTGCAAGCAAAATGTTAGCAGGGATCTGTGCCCTTTTGCCTACTTTGACTACAAGAAACACAACTCATTTTGCAGCACAACTGTAACAATGATTACATAAAAAAATAATATTTTTCTTTAGGCTTTGCAGTATCTTAAGGCAAAGTAATTTTGATAGCTGTATCTATTTTCCAAGTATGCATAAGGCTAAGTGACATCTGAACAGACGTAAAGAGATTTTAATTCAAGGCGACTGTGATTGCTGCAGTGTAGTCCTAAATTTGTTCCTGCGGTTTGGAGCAGCATGCTAAATTACATGCTGTGAACTGAATTCCTCAGTCTGGTTTTGCATGTGTTGCAGAGGCCTACTTGGGTTTGGGCATGGAGCTGCATAAACAGCACGATCAAGTGGGTGCACTTTATCTCCTCTGATCAATGGTGAGGGATTACAGAGGAACAGAGTGTAGAGCGTGGTTTCTCTCTGCAGGGCTAGCGTTGTTGAATGTTCATTATATGAAAAGTTGGAAGAGGTGTGTGTAGAATAGTAAAGCTTATTCATCAGATGAGAAATGTGTTTGCAAGGTATAGTTTTCTATCAGGTCATCCAATTTATACGTTACAAACTTCTATTATATTTTCTGTAGCGATGTGTGTCTCTTATTTGTCACTTTTTACATAATATATATATGACACTGCTGCCTGACAGTTATAGGCAGTGTAAATGTCCCAGTTCTTTACTGCTACCGTGTTTTATGGCTGAAACGTTTCTTAAAAAGCACAATTTTGTGCAATTCAGTGCCACTCTACTGCTCTAAAAACACTTACAGCAATGGCCACAATTAAAAGTGATGCATCATGCAGATTGACATGGTTTTCCTCATTCTACTAATATATATATATATATATATATTTTGCTATAATATTTTCAAGCTATATTTTACTATCTCCATTCTCTAGTTAGGTCGGTAGAAGCAGAGGAAGAGCAAACGCAGTCATTACGGCACATGCATAGTTCACATAGTAGCTTTATAGAAAACATGTGGTGGTTGAGGCCCCGAATTAGGAGATATGAAGAAAGAGAGGATGAAAGACAGTGGACATTACTGGATATTTAACTTTATAGTATGTTGCACAGTACACCATATATGCGATCCCTCCCAAAGGGGTGCCAGAAGCCCCTTAGAATAGGTTAAGTATACAGTATGGCAGGTAAATGTAAAGTGCAAAGTAAATAGGACCTTGGACTCTGTTTGATTAGCTGGGAGGAGAGGGCAAAGTCTCCCGAGCAGAAGGCTTACAGCAGTAATGAAGAAAAGTGCTGACCAATGGAGACTGACACATCAATGCACAGACTGACAAGCACAGAAATTACTTTTAAATCACCACATGTTTGAGTTAAAATGTTCTTAGTGTTACCTCCTATGTACGTTAGGTTAATTCATATTATCCACAGATGGCATAGGTACTGGAAATGAACTTTTTTTGTCCACCTGCCAGTGTGGCTAATCAGAATACTGACATTCTCTTACTTTCTCATACACACACATTGTAGTAACCCCAGCGATTAAACGCCACATTGTTTTCCTGTCTCTCCTTATTAAAATGTCCAAGTGAAACAAGCAGACTCGATTCAGTCTGTTGTGGAATGTCACAAATTGCTCTTTTACACTACTTTTTACACCATGGTGGTTGAGCAAATTCAATAAATTTCCAAAGCTGGTCCTGCACAAAACCCTGTACGCAGGATAAGCGGTTGACGATGGATGGATGGTCCTACACAACAAAGCTCCATGCACTGAATCACAGTTTTTTTTTCCATTAACATGTATACTGAATGTTGTTTAAGCTTCATGTAAGTTCAAAGCTAGTATTCACCTAGCCAAGTTAAGTTATAAAATTCAACATTTCTCACTGTTATTACATTCTATCTACAAAATAGAGATTGTATTTAAACAAGTCACAATTAACAAATGCTAGTAGCATTTAAACACACAGAATTGGTGTTTTTCATGTTTGCGAAAGTACATTTTGTCTTAGAACAAAGATTTCATGGAAATGCTCTAAATAAACTCATGCTGCAATGCAACGTACCAAAAAATGAAAGTTTGCAGAGTTGACTGTTTTAGCTAACAGAGACCAGAGTCATTTACCCCAAACACTGTACAATTGTGTGCTGTGTTGTGATTTGCGCAACATTTATTTGCCAGTAGACCAGAACGGCAGAGGGAATCTCTGGGCAGCCAACTGTACCACAGTAAAAATAGATTAATGGTCTAGCTCAAACACAGCTGAAATTTCACTCAATACTTGACATGCTGCAACAAGTTGAGAGCTACTATTAGCCACGTCTGTTCCCCCTGCTGCAGCTTACTGTACTAGATGTTTTTGGAAGCATTGCCAGATGTTCCCAAGGTTGTAAAACTTCCAGTGGGGCAATTTGGCCCCTATGTTTCAGTAATCAAACCTTACATTGTTTTCCTCCCAAACAGAAGGAGGGCTCCACCCTACCTTTACTGAAGTCAGATTTGGTCCCACCCATAGACTGTATATAAAAAGGCTCCACCTTAAAACATGCAACGAACCAGGTTGTGCTCCTTGTGAGGCTGCTGCCACAAGCGCCTCCCCCTTTTACTGAATGAGAAACTGTGTCAGTGGAGCAGCTCCTGCTCTCTCTGGCCTGAGGCTGCTGCTCAGCTGACTGGCAGGTGAGGCGGCGAGTCATAGACAAAGTCGCTCTCTCAGCAGCCAATAGGAGCGCGGGGAGGTGGGATGGATTGTCACACTGTTGCCAAGACAACCACCTTTGAATGAGTTTGTTCATGGAATGCAGCCAGACTGCAGTTATATAACAGGCTGAAGGGCGGGGTTGAGGCTCTGGAGGGGGAGCGATAAAGGGAGCAATGGAGAAAGGGATTTTTTTTTTCTCTCCCCCCATTGCCCTTTATTTATTTATATCCCTAAGTTGCGTTGGTCAGTAGGAATTCTACCCAACCAAAACACTCAAATATGTCACCTGGCCTGCTCAGAAAGTCTTTGTGGAAGGAAAACATTGAAGGAATATTCAGGGCAATGTCTGTAACTAACCTCTTTAGCTTTGCCCCAGTGTGTGACGCATGTCTGTCCCCACACAGAGTGACTCATGTGATTGGTTGGTTGTGAGTAGTTTATAAAAGACCCTTTAGAAAACAACAATTTTCTGAAGTGCTGTGATGGCCAATTAAAGCTGTCACTGCGATTTACAGGTTACCTAATACCCTCTGTGACCCAACAAAAGTGGTTTAGGGATTGTTTGGCACACACTGCAGCCCGAGCCAAATCAAATCTTGCACACAGTCTACACAGTAACAGTCAGTAGCAGTTGTTTTGTGGGTTACAATTGTAGGACTTGGAGGGTTCAGCACAGTAGTATGCCTTTGTTAACCTGCTAACATTTTGTTCATCCTAGAGAAGGAGCAACATAGATAGAGCGAGAGAGAGAGCCGTGAAACTTTATAACCCCGGGCCTCAGCTAATGCAATTGACCTGCTATTCTGGGCTTGAGGAGGCCCAGCTACTTGGATAAACAACATAATGAAAAGAACAGGCTGTTCCTGAGTTAGAAGCCTCCGGCTTCCAAAATGAACACAAGGTGTATGATGTATACGCTGTTTGCTTTGTCAATCATAGGATCCATTGTGTTCTTGACACTTCTCTTGTTTCTTCACAGTCCTGTATAATCAAAATATCATTAGCTACATTTCAAACCTTGTAATGCACGGGTAACATTTGACTGTCATGAAATAATCTGTATTTATTGAGAGAAAATTCTGTCTGCACCAGGAAATATCTCATGCAAGGTGGTGGTCGCCTTGTTTGAGTGAAAAATCAGGGTTGTCTAGAGCAAATATTGATTTATCATAGGCTGACCATTTCATTGATATGACTGAGGTGCTTTATTAAAATATATGCAGATCAAGATTGCAGGCATGATAGGCCTAAAAAGCAAATGTTGTTCCTATAACGGGCACTGGTTTTCTATATAGGTTTATGGAGATGGAAGTTGTGTAGCAACTGAAATGGATAATATCGCTTCCCATGCTGTGTATGATCATAGGGCTACTGTGTATTTACCTGCCATGGATTTTCTCAATTAATCGCTTTGTTGTCTTGTCTGTGAATGTCAGGAAATAAAGAAAAATGTCCATCACAGTTTCCCAGAGCCAAAGGTGATGTGATAAAAAAGAGAGAAAATCAGACAGTCGTTGCACAATAGAAACAAGATGGCTAGAAAAATGACTGAAATGATTAACTGATGTCTGTTGATTGACTTATTGATTAATTGGCTAATCCTTTCTGGCTAATCTTGATCATGATGCCAAGTGAAAGAAACACACAGTGTTATTATGTCATTATGCAATGATTTAATCATATTCTTTCTAAATTAATCCATGTATGTATTTGTTGCTAGGTGACTAACTACATAATAGAAATGTTCTATGTTTTGAGGTGCCTAATTAACATGTTACAATGTTTTTTACTGTTTCACTGACTTTTTCCTCATTCATCTCTCTCTCCAGCTCAAATAGAGGTGATTCCCTGTAAAATCTGTGGGGACAAATCCTCCGGGATTCACTATGGTGTCATCACATGTGAAGGCTGCAAGGTGAGCTATCATCTTCTCCTCCCTCATCACTTGTTAATTACAGGTAAAAGTAGGTAAAAACTGTAAGGTGGTGTTATCACATTAGCACCACCAGATGCTCACATGGTTTCCCACTGATTAACATTTTGTGTATGTGTGTGTGTCTTTTTGTCTGTAGGGTTTCTTTCGACGCAGCCAGCAGAACAATGCTATGTACTCCTGCTCACGACAGAGGAACTGTCTTATTGACCGGACCAACCGTAACCGCTGTCAGCACTGCAGACTGCAGAAATGTCTTGCTCTGGGCATGAGCCGTGATGGTGAGTTCCTCTACTCGATCTATATTTAATTAATTCAGAGTTTCCACCTCCCACTTTTTCCTTATCACACTGAATAAGTCATGTAATCCTTGTTTGACGTAGACCATACCGCCTTCAATGTTTAATTTTCGTCTCTACATCCTCCTGTTGCAGCGGTCAAGTTTGGTCGGATGTCCAAAAAGCAACGTGACAGCCTGTATGCAGAAGTCCAGAAACACCAGCGATCCCAGGAGTGTGCGGGCCTGGGTGTCCGCGAGGAGAATAGTGACGCGACTGACCACGGCCGCACCTACAGAAGAGGCTCCAGCGCCACGCTCAGCGATCTGGAGGACATTACCACGCTGCCCGAAGGCCTGCTTTTCGACCTGCCGCTGACCCCAGAGGATGCAGGGGGAGACTACTGTAACCTGGACATGCTGGGAGGCAGTGCAGGCAGCAGCTCATCCTCGCAGAGCTCACCAGAACAGACCAGCTTGGACTTTGTAGACGTCAGCCACAGCATCAAGCATGAGTACCAGCTGTTGCATGACTCTGGACTCTTCTCACATGCTATCTTCAACCCGCTGCCTGAGGGCTGCTCCCTGCATGAGATAGGTCAGTATAAACCCTGTAATGCATAGCTATCATATAATGACCACTGCTGTTTTGTGTTTTTAACCTTAAATCTATCCTAAAAATGCATCTCATTGCAAACTGTCAAGAAAAAGAAGTAAAACAAAGCTTTCCCTCTGTTCAGAGCGTTTAACTCAGAGCGTGGTGAAGTCCCATATTGAGACGAGCCAGTACGGTACTGAGGAGCTGAAGAGAATGGCGTGGACCTTGTATAGCCCAGAAGAGACACGCTCATACCAGACCAAGGTATATGTAACACAAGTATATGAAAGTACATTTATATGTAGATGATTGATATACTATGTACTGTCAAATCTATGAAAAAATACAGTAGAAGTCCCACATAAAACATTTTTTCATATCACCACTGTTTGGCTCATCATGCTATGTTGCTCTCTTGTACAAGGTCTCACAGAGGAATGTTTTAAGTTTGTAACCTTCAGCAACTGTAAAACTTGGGATGTTTTCTAAAACAAATAGAAGTGCCCCCTTCTTATCACCATAGTTCATTCTTTAATGTTCGTAAATCTGAACATTTTTATCACACTTTTCCTACTGGGCTTTTTGCCTCACTGGTCAAGGCTATGTAGGCCATAGCTTTAACAGAGATGCAGCAGATATAATCTAACTACAGGTCACGTCTTTAGTAGAAATCACACAACCAAACAATCCTTGAAACCTAAATAAGCACAGGCTTAATGATGCCTCCCAGGTATTGCATTTCTCATAAAAGCCTTTCTGTTTCTTGCTTTCTCTTCCAGTCAGCTGAGGTGATGTGGCAACAATGTGCCATTCACATCACCAATGCAATCCAGTATGTGGTAGAGTTTGCCAAGCGCATTTCTGGCTTCATGGACCTCTGTCAGAACGATCAGATTATCCTCCTCAAAGCAGGTCAGTGCATGACACCCGCCTCCACACACCCTGCAGTCTAAAATGAGTTCTACACATTGTGTTCAGCCACACAACAGCCAGCAGCTGTTTTTACAACAAATTTGCCTCCAGCAAGACATCTAGACTGCTGTGTGTATGTTGTAAACATTTAGCTGCGATACAGATTCTGTTGTCATATGAACAACTCTTAAGTGCTAGCTGAATTCACAATTCAATATCACATGCAAGCAGAGGGATATGAAAAGGTCTGTGGCATTAGAACAATAAAACCGTCAAAACAGAAGAGCCATGGCTTTGGGTGGCAGCCAAGGTTCTTTCTGTCCTCATGTGATGATAGAAACATGAGCATGCACAAAAAGGTCTTCTCAGAAGGAATGTAATTAGACTAAATGCATTCCTGTAAGTATCATCACTATTTGACGTGTGAAATCCACAACACGATATATAATCAACAGTGAACAGCCATTATTCATATAAACATTTTCAATGTCAGGTATGAGCCAGTGACTTAATGACAATGTGCATTGTCTACCTTGATAGATTTATCACATCCTTGGTTGTACAGGTAACAACTTCCCTATCATTCAAAGAATTTCCAGGAAATTATATAAAATGACCTTGTCACTGAGGAATGTTTTGCTTTATATATTTGAGACAGGGCAGATTTATCTAACATTTGTTTGGGATGTAGGAGACATTGTTATTACAACCTGCAGCAGTACAAATTGTTGTTGTTGTTCACTGATCATGTCAGTGAAAATGTGCTGAATATTGAAAGAAGTCAAAGGAATATGTTTCCTGTTAGTGAAAGGTGTTCTTCTTAATTTAGTTCAGCGGGTTTTTCTTTACATGCCTGCATCATTCAGGACAAAACAAAAACCTTAGTAGACTATGTAAAGGGAGAGGTTATATTTTACTGTTCTTCATTTTATCCAATTCTGAAATACACTAAACACGGCCTATTTAGATCATTTACAAAGATTTTAAAGCGTGCTCTTTTTCCTCTATTCTATCTTGTTCAGCACAGCAACTATTTGTATATTTTATTAAGCCTTTTTCTTTTTTGTGCGTGTGTCCACAGGCTGCATGGATGTTCTTCTGATCCGTATGTGTCGGGCCTACAACCCCATCAATAACACATTATTCTTTGACGGAAAGTTTGCCACTGCTCAGCTGTTCAAAGCTCTTGGTGAGTAAACACATTGTCTCTCTCTCTAATGGAAAACGCATACACTTAAAGAAGGGAAGAGAGGGAATTGTAGGTCAACTTTTTCTTATCTGTTTCATCTGTGTCAAAGTCATCAGTCAGTAGTTTGTTTTGATGTTAACTTTCTTTTTCTCCTTCCACCTAGGCTGTGACGACCTTGTGAATGCAGTGTTTGACTTAGCTAAAAGCCTGAGCCGTATCCAGATGTCTGAGGAAGAGATGGCTCTCTTCAGTGCTGCTGTGCTGCTCTCACCAGGTGAGATTATATTTCTTTAACCAAATTAATTTATCTTTAGCAGGGAGACATGTAGATTTCTGTATCAGATTTGCAAAGTGCTTCATACCTGCTCACCGTAGAATTGCCACTCATACTACATTGGTGAAATAAACCCATAGAGGCCACTGTACAGTATTTCATACGTTTCACACATCCTATTCAGAGATCAGATTCAGAGAAGTAAAGGAGAAGAAACGTGTTTGCTGATTCTTCTGTCACATATTAATATGTGACATATTAATGCACATATTGTCAGAAGACAATGTATAATACATCTATATGAGCATTGCTGCACCCATAACGACAGTACTGGCGCTGACAAGATAATGGTTTAGAGACTGTGTGAAACTCCCTAAAGGATTGTACCCATGCATTTGCATGTTATAAGGCAAACGTTAGTGTAATTTACTTTACTGATGGTCATTTTCCAAAGTATAACATACATTTTTACATTCCTCCTTTACAGTCACACATTGATTTTAGTTACTTACTGTCGTGGATAAAAATCCGCATACAAAGAGGTGAGTTTGTCACTGAAAAGGCAGTAGCAATTGGCAGGCTGTTCAATCTTGGATGTTGAAGAGTCATAAAAACTCCCAACAATAAGGGGTTTCAAAATGGTCCCTGCTGACAACTGCATTACCATGCAATGTTAATATAATTTGACACTTAAAAAAGGCCCTATGATGGATCACTTATCTCAGACAGGTTTCATGTAGGAACGGAAATCACCATAAAAAGTTACAATATGTTATACAAATGTTCAGCAGTTATATAAAGCAATCTGCCAAAGGTATACAACACAAAGCATGTAATGTTCTGTGCTTTTTGTATTCTTGTCCTACATGATTGCACATTGTACACCAGACATAGTTTCAAATTGGCAACCTGACAACACTAATGGCAACATCTTGTCACTATAATTTCCCTCAGACCGCCCCTGGCTGACAGATGTTCAGAAGATACAGAAGTTGCAGGAGAAAGTCTACGTGGCTCTGCAGCGCTGCCTACAAAGAGAGGGAGCATCAGAAGAGAAACTAGCTAAGGTATAAAGCCTGCTGCATCACTATGCCTGTTTGGTGAAAGGAAACTGACATGATGCTTTTTTCAACTGCTGTATTAATGTTGCTGTTTTAGTGGTGCTTATTTCTTCTTCTAACCTTTCCTGCTCTAATGTATTTCCCCTCTAGATGGTGTCTAAGCTTCCCATAATGAAGTCCATTTGCAACCTTCACATCGACAAACTGGAGTTTTTCCGCCTGGTTCACCCTGAGACAGCGTATACCTTTCCTCCTCTGTATAGGGAGGTTTTTGGCAGTGAAATCACCTTCCCAGACTCCACAGAGGGCTAGCAACGTTTAGCTAAAGAGCGTGATTCAAATAGAGACATTGAGGTGTAGGGAGGAGGAGATAAAAATGTGGCAACCAGCTGAGGAAAAACCAACCAGCAGCTCAATGACAATCCTGCACGCTACACTTTAGGACACACTTCTCTCACCTCCCGCCCTGCAAGCTAGTCCGTTCAGCTTCAACGTAACACTACAGGAACTGCTGCTGGGTACTCAATGCATGTTACCTCTTTTTTTACAGTTAAAGAAATTATTGAGGAGTAGCTCACATAATTTGTATTCTAAAAAATATTTTTCTATGAGAAGACCTTAAACCTCTCATCATGTTGAATTCCTTTCTAATATAAATTTGACTCTCACCATTCTCACAGTTCCTGTAAGCTATTGTTGAATGTACCCCTTTTTCCTTTTAACCGTTCAGCACAGCCCCTAGGCTTGATATAGAATGTACATATTTAAAATCTTCAGCCACTTTTTGGAGATTTGCAGTAATGATGCCTGTTTCAGTTGTCAGTCTAGTAAAAAAATTTTGTTTTATTCAATATTTTTGGTTGCGCCCACAGTTTGCAGTTTTGTAATGTATGAACAAACTGTTTAAAGGGACCATGATCAAACTCACAAACAGACAGGGGTTTTTTTTTTTACTGTGTGAATCATGGGCAAACTCTCAGAGTGTCTGCCACCATGCACTTACAAACTCTTGCACACAGAGCACAAAACATAGCACTTATTCTGATCTTTGTAGGTGTTTTTACTAGCACACCCTCAGACACTGATGTTAGTGAGCTCTTTGTTTTTTAATGCAATCAATGACCTCAGTCCTGATACCTTTTCCCCTTGCAAATGCCACTTAGAGAGTGTGATAATCACAGCAGTGTTGTGAAAGTATTTTCTGATGCTTCTTCTTTTTCATATATATACATGAAAAAAAAATATAATAATACCTATATAATCATGTAAGATAAGAGCAGTGAGTGAGGAGGAGGGGAACTAATGCGCATGTGCTCAGGTCTCTCGAACAGATACTGCCTACTGCCCAAACTTGGGGTTCTGGGATGGAAAGATTGCTGTTGCTGATAATTAGCACTTATGAGTCCTTGTTAGAATCCAAAATGAACTCTTGGCACAAGATTTTACGGGTTCGCACTCAGACTGCCATCTGTGAAAGTTATGTTAAAACAGTCGGAAATGCAAGATACACCCTCCCACTGTAGATAAGCTGTATGAACAAGGTGCTAGGCAGCCGACCACTGTGGGGTTATGTGCTCTCATGGAGGAGCATCTGGAACTAGTCGCACCTCAGCTCCCCTTTCCGCAGAAGAGTGCCATTGCACAAACCATCCAGCAGCGTCTCAGCCAGCAGGTTCAAAAGACTTTGGGCATAAAGAAGAAATGAACTGATAAGTCTGATGTTGACATGTGACAGTAATCACATTACCACCAACATGGTAGGATGGGGGGCAAAGAATAGAAAGTGGACAGTTGTGTGTAGACATCAGAGAGGATATACTGTCTGCGCCAACTCTGACTGCTTCGGGGCCAGGCAGACTGCGCTGTCACAGTCAGCGCTGTCACAGTCAGCCAAGGTGTTCTGATTGGACAATTAAATCATCTGTTCCTTTTTCCCCACTCCCTTACTACCTCACACTCTTCAAACACTACATGGCACAGCAAAGGGTTGACAGAGCCATCAGCTACCCCCCTGAGTTAGTATTTCTGCATTCATAGTAAAGAGCTTGAAAATATAACAATTAGACTAAACTATCCTAAAATATATTCTTATGGTCTTTCAACTGGACAGAAGACAAAAGCAAACTGAAATGCTGGATCTACTTATGCTACCTATCCTCAATGAGTGCTTTTCTGTCATTTGAGAGCAGTTAATCTGTAGGTTCAGGAAGCCCTGCTTAGATACAGATCTATCTGAAGTAAGATCTGGGTGTGTCCGTATGGCAGCAGGGGGACATATTGGATTTCTGTAAAAACAACAAAAACAAAGTATCTTTCTACCCATATCCTAGAGAAGCTGCCAGAAAAGAAAAGTCAGAGAAAACATTGCTGCTTTTAAAATGCAACATTGCTGCATTTTAAGACGATCACATGTCGTTGATGTCTAGCTCTATTTAATATGTCAGCCAGATTTGCTTTGCACTGCTGGGACGGTGCTGTTCGCCAGACACATACTATATTACCTGTATTACCCTTTTCTGGGTACACGAGACAGTGGCATGGTGGGATTGTGCAATAAAGTCTTTCCCGTTGTTCTCAGTATGTTGGGCCTTTGTTGCCATGTATTACAGTTAATATTTTCATGAGCACTCCAGCAAAATGTGGCAGCACAACAAATTATGTTATTTGGAAGATAATGTACCAAATGCACAGCCAGCCACTACACAGGTCAGCCATCTGCTGATATGACCAGATGACACTTACAGATTGTAACAAAGTGTAATACTTTGTGTGTTAAGTCCTAGAATGTTAAGTATGCTGAATTCAGCAGAGTTTTTGTAGGCCTAAAAGCTGTCCGGGAGGCAGTACTGAAGATCTGCACTTACGTTTCCGTTTAGAGTTACTCAGGGAGATAGCTGGGCTCTCTGTCCTGCAGTGTCTGCAGTTAGTTGAGCTAGCAAGACACCTTGCACCAACATAGAAGACCTTAAAACCTTGATCACTGTGTACAGTACACGTTCTTGTGAATGTTTGATTTCAGAAGTATCAAAAATTTTACCCCTGACTAATATTATTGCGAGACTTTTTTGTTGGAGTTTGAGTCATAGATGAAATAGGACATTATAAAAAAAGTAATTATAGTAAAATAAATATAAAAAAATATATTATCTCTGAATCTTGTGTTGGTTTTGTTGTGATCTTTTGTTTCTTAATTTTTATCCTTACACGTACTGTTTGTTTGTTTTTTTTCTCATCAGTTTAGTGTCCTTTTTGTCTTGGAGAGATGTAATTCTATTTTTTTAAAGACCGTTTTTAAAGATGTCTCCCTAAAAGTTTCTCTTTTGTCATGATCCTTCTGTTTATATGTTCACGCTATTGTAAGATTATTGTTATTAAATCAATATAGATTTTAATAAGAAATAATTTATGATATGTTATGATATAAAGCCCAAGAGGTTTTAACACAGTAAAGTGTTATTGCACAATGGTGACAATATGTGGATTTAAGAATGTAATAAAAGTCTTTTTACAATAAGAAGAAACTTGTGGTTTTACCTTATTTTTTTTATACTGATTGTACCCAAAATGATTAGCGCAGATGAACCAATTTCATTGTCTATAAATAAACCGTATATTCCATACCCACCTAAAATAACACATTTATCACAGTTTCATTTAACGCATTAATTTCTTTAAATAAACTATTAGTTCAGTTAACCTTTATTACCTTTGAGACATTTGTTATTTGGTCAGATAACAGTCCATACAGACATTATAATTGGAAAAAAATTTAATTTGCTATTTCACACCAAAGGGAGAAAGGTGATTAAGAAAGATAAATGTAAATTGTGTTTTCTGCCATTTAGATGGGAACAGTTGTGTTTTGCTAAACAATAAATCTCTTTTAGCTTACTCCATTCACATGGTGGATTTTATAATGCATACTTTACAACCATTCAGACATACTTAGATTATACAGTATATGCACTATAATTATTACTGTCCTCTGATGTCAGTTTAATTAGACTCAAAGAGACCATCTTGTATTGCACTATATTTTGGCACTTTGTCTACCTGTTTTTGTCATTCCAGATCATCTACATAAAAGCAGGTGTAAGGATAGTCTGTATTGGGAACATGTAGTGCATTGTTACCACCACATGGTGCATAATAGAAACCAAACTGGGTGCTTGGGTGTGTTTTCATCACTGGTAAGATATTTTCATCATGTCATCCATGGTATGAAGTCATGTAGGTTGTTTCAGTGTTAAGTATTAATCCACCTCTGAAACATCTGCATGCTGCAATTCCACTACAATTCCTGTACCTTGCTGTGTTGTACTGTTTCACTCTTTAATAGAAAGAAGTGCCAAAACAAACCTGTTCACAGCTAGATGGAAAATCCAGAGTAACCAGAACCAGAAGAAATGTTGCTGATGATTTTCTTTTGACTATTTTGAGCACCACAGATGAAATTTAATCATCTGTTGTACTGGGAAGGTGGCAGGAATCTCAAATATGTTTATCTCAGAGCCTTCATGACACAACATCATATACGTCACATAAATATGAAAACTACCTGGATGGTAGATACCATTAAGGTACTGAGTGACCGGCATCTGTAATGCTGCTGCTGCACTTTCTCTTTCCCTCCATCTGATGTTGTAGTCTACTCCTCTACAGGAGAAAGAGATGATACTTTATATTAGGACAGCAGGATTATCATAAAGGCCTTCCCCAATTCTTGATATTATAGTTGTGTATTTCAATTTAGTAGAACTGCTATTATATTATACTAAATACATATTTACTGGATATGGACATTAAAACCCACCTACGGGCTGTCCACAGTTTACTGAAACAGAAGTAGTTATCTGAGAGCGGGAACATCTATCTGGCCTGTAAATCCTGCAGCAGACAGACGGGTGTGCGCCTGCCACATCCAGCAGGGGGCAGTGTGCACTAAAGTAAGACTTTATCAGCGTCTCGGGAAACTGATTTCTTCAAAGTTCCCTGGTGAGATTTGGTGCTTCTTTGTGTTTTCAGGTCAGGAGACAATATTGTTGGTTTTGGTGGATTTTTTTAGCACATTTCTCTGCGTTATCTGCTGTGACAGTGGGGAAGAGTCACCCTCGACGTGGACGTGGTCAGTTGGCGTGTCTCGACGTGGAGTGACGGCTGTGCGGTCCTATGATTCCTCCTAAACATTTTTGCACTGGCCCCTTTTCTTACAAACTATATCGCTAACTTAAGTTATATCGTCGACTCTGAACACCTCCGTTGGAAGTTGAAGACAGCCGGGGTTCAAGATGTCTGTAGCGGGCTTGAAGAAACAGTTTTACAAAGCCAGCCAGGTTTGCAAAACTTTTCTTTTTAGCCAACAACTGTAATGTATCGTTAGCAGCTAGCCCCGCTTAGCATTATTAGCTAGCGGTTATACTGTGGTAATGTTAATAACGCTGTGTTAATGCAGCGGTTTGCTCGCTGTGTGGTGACAGCAGGACGCTAGAAACGATTTGTGTCAGTGTGTAAAATGTCATTTGTTATTTTTAGTTGGCACTCTTATCTTCTTTTTACAGCTAACTTAGCGGCAAAGTTAATAAGCACCTTTCGGACGTTAACGTTAGTTGAAATAGCTTTAACGAACTTTAGCCAATGCTAACTAGCATTACTGTGTTGTTAACGGTGTATAGGTAACGTTATTTTACATTTTGTTTTGTTTTCTAAGTTAACATATCCAGCAGTGAGTCAGTTTCAGTGAGTATACATCCTGTGGTAAACATTAACTAGCTGTGTTTGCCTCAGGGGCTCTCCGGGTGAATCAGAGCTCTTTAGAGTTTTTAAACACTAACTTACACCAAAAAGTAATGCAATATAAAACAACTATCGACACATTTTAGTTTTTAATATTTACTGGAAGACCATTTTCATGTGTGAGACTGTGTAACATCACGTTTTTTGTGCTTATTTGGAGTGAAGACCCAGTTACTTTTTTCCCAGCTGTGTTTTTGTTAGTCTTTTGTTCAGCAAGCCGGATCAGTATTTAGGGCAGCTGATGGGACAAACGTAGAATGTTACTGCGTTAGAAATGCCACTACCGGCCATGGACTTATTAACTCATGCTGTCTTTTGATGTCTGAACCTTGGTGTGAATGGTTTTAATTTTGGCCAGCTCGCCCAGTCATGGGCGGGGATGGTACGAAAGATTTTTTTGCGTCCCTTTTTTTCTTTTTACTGCTGCTGATCTAAGCAGGAAAGACATTTGGTTTCCCCAGCTTCCTGACAGGAACGGACTCAGATCCCTGTTGGTTTGGCTGTGAGGAAAAATAATACAATTCAGAAGCTGTCATGTTAGGACTGTTGGTTCTGAGTGTAATGAAAATGAGGAGTAAAGGCGTTTGAGTAAGGGGATTAGTGTATGAGACCCAGGGGATGATGCAGAGAAGGAGGTGGAGAAAGAGTGCTTTCCCATTATTTCACTGCAATGCAGCTGCTTGTCTTGCCAAAACTCCATGAGAGTCAATAACACTAGACATAGCTCAGATTTTCTACACTGGAGGCATGCAGGAAGTCTGCTGTGGAAGTGATAAATGTACCCTGTAGCTAACACGTCCTTGTGTTTTACTAGCTTTTACTTTCTCTCTTCCCTTGTTATTTGGTTTTCGGAGAATTACTCTTAAAGCAAATGGTAAAACCTGAAATGTCAGACTCATTTGGAGCACAAATAAATCACACTCATGCGCATTTTATGTGTGACAGTGGGGTTAGCCTTAAATGGAGATGACAGATTTAGACAGTATCCAGTAGGCTTTTTAAGATTATTTGTGCAGTTTATCAAGTGAATTTATGCACTGATGTAGTCAAATGTCTTCTGGTTTCAAATGCTTCAATTTACAACTGAAGATTAATACAGTTATGCTTAAATGGAAAGCAAATGTCAGACATAGAAGAAATTATGTTTATATTTAACAAATCTTTATTGGTTACACTGTAGGGGTGAACAATTAATCGAAATCTTATTGAAATCCAAGTATGGCCTAGTGGGTTTTTTCAAATTGCAGGAGGTGCAATATTTGTTAAAGGCAAAATGTAGGTCAAAATACCATTTTAATTAAAAAATGTTGTGCGGCAGAGATGTCCTGGCCTACATATCATATTCTAGACACTAAAGAAAGCATTTTTGTTTGGTACAGACCCTGGCAGATATCACACCATAATCAGTGTTTTTCAATGAAAATGAGAATAATGATGTAAAAATGATCATTCCCTCCAATATTGCAAATCATACTGCAAATGCAATATCAGTCAAAATAATCACTGTTAGATATTTTTTCAAATTCAAAAAAATAAATAAAACTGGCTCCAAGCTCTGTATAAAAACCTCACGGTTGCTGTCTGTACGAAGAGTACTACATACAACAGCAAAGACCACTGCAGAGGTGTCCGGTTATAATGTTCAGTTAAAATAATTCCTGCCAGCCAAACGGTTTCAAGAAGAGTGGCCATAGTATAAATTGTGATATCAAGTGGGATCTTTTTTATCTTTCTTCTTAAATTTTTAACATTAACTTGAAGAAGCATCAAATATATAATTCATTGGAAGAAGTAATTTACAAAACATTGCCAGCCAGTGCATAAACCTCTTCACAACACACATATTTTGTAAGTATCAAAGTTTCCAGAGATTCAGACCAAAATCAGTCCTGCGTTACCCAGCTCAGGGGGCTGCTTTGGTGGAACAAGTTGTAGTACGCGAGACCGGTTTTAAGACCACTTTTTGATGGTCTTGGTCTTGTCTCGGACTCGACTGCATTTGGGTGTTTTAATAGGAATGTGGATCTTTCAGATTAGTTTGAGATGTACCTATGATCTCGTTCTACATTTTATTGTGTGTCATGTAATGTGGAGAACTGGTCTTGGTCTTGACTCGGTCTGTGCATATGAAGGCGAAAATGTTAGTTAAGGCTTACTGTTTACTGGAAACAACCAGGAAACAGTTGCACTTATTTAAATGCCAAGATGCATCCAAGTAAGAATAAAAAAAGAGATTTTAAAAAGAGTCAAATACTGATTGAACACTCGCTACACTCTATTGGTGTATTGAGAATGCTCTATCACACTGCTAAATCGCTGTCACACCTTCACTTTTTATATCTGATTATAGTAACATAAATCCCTCTTCAAATGTGGGAGAGCTCTCTTTTTATATTTTGAGCCACACAACGTTTCTTTTTTCTCTTTTAATTCTGCTCTTAAAATGTTTTTATTACATGTGATGGCTTTAACATGTTGCTACAGCAAATAGACAGGTTTGTTGTGTGAGAAATAACTCACCAAGTGATGTTTACCAGCTGCTGTTTTTTATTTTACATTACATTTTAGCTGACACTTTTATCCAAAGCGACTTACAATTGCTATATATGTCAGAGTTCACACGCCTCTGGAGCAACGAGGGGTAAAGTGTCTTATTCAGGGACACAATGGTGGATGGGTCACAGTGGGGGATTGAACCCAGGTCTCTCACAGGCACAGGCATCTTATCCATTGCGCCATAACCACCCCATGCTACGTTAAGAAACCATATGAATCTACATTAGGCTGCCACTTTACCTCTTTCTACATGTTTGGCATTTTGGCCTCTGTATAAGTCAGCTTTCTGGGCCCCACAATCGTCAAGTCATCTGAAGCCAAACAAGATCTTAAGCTTGGCATTGTTATAATGCACCAACATTTAACAAAATACCAGTAGCTTAAACACCCAGTCATTATGATAAAAAGGATACCTAGACTGATCCCTTTTTGTAGTCCTGTGCGTGTTTATATCAAAACTTCCCGATGATAACCTTTTTGTGGATGTTTTTGAGCTCCATTACTTTGAGCTTGTGTGCATGTAAACAGTGATGTTACACTGACATAAGAACTGCAACAGTACTCAGTGGCTGACAAATTATTCAAACAATTCACTTAAGACCAACATCTCAAGTTTAGTGACAAAAATATTGATTTGAATTAAATTCTTCTTGCCTGTCCAAAAAGTTGTCATTCTTGTAAGGCAGACGAGGGTGCAGAGATAAAAATAAGATAGCAAAGATTTAGTACTGCAGACTGCAATCTTTCCTCCAAGGTAGAGCACCAAATGCTGAGTAGGCTGAGAGTTGAGGCTGTATCTTTATTTGTGACCTGAATCCCCCAAGGCCCCCTGTCCTGTGTTTTCTGCATACTGCAGAGATTCAGCAGTATAACTTGGAAGCTTTGTTGAAATAATTTTTACATCCCGTTAGCGCTAAACAAATGAAATGCTCTGACAGTCCAGTATCTGTGGCTGTCGCAGGACTGTAACAAGAACAGTCCCAATCATTTCATTCGGACTGAATGTAATGATTGGCTGGCCTACCTACGTGCACTCTGCCCGTGTAGTCACTGCGCATGGAGATGTGTTTGGGGGAGTAGCTTTGGCAGGAGGCCTGAAGGGAGGGGTTTTTTTTTTGTTTTTTTTTTTTGGGATACTTTCAAAATCTAGCTGTGTCTGGCTAGTTTATCCAACGTTACCTACCACTACTTTAATTTTTAATCCTGCATAGTTAAAGCTCTGATGTCACATTGAACTGTATTACTCACTCATCATAATATTCTTTAAATAAGAAGTTCCCTCAGACCCAGAAATGTCTTGGTAATTCCAGTAATCACGAAACAGTTCCAACAGTATTTTGATTCATGTAGGAAATGACTCAATTGAATATGTCCAAACCAGCAGAGAGTGGCACACCGCCTGAAAGGACGTTGTGGTCAATCTGTAAAGGTGTCAGGAGTGTTGCGTTAAATTATATATGCCTCTATAGTATGGGCCAGGTCCTACAAATATATAGTTGTCTAAAACAGTGAAAAAGTTCAGTTGTATATTTTACACGCATATTATTATTTTAGGAAAGTAATAACATTACCTCAAAGTCTTCAGGAACATCTACTATAGAAGAATACAATTCAAATCGTACAAATGCGATCCTAAATGTTGTTTCCCTGTTTCCAGGCCTCTCTTGCAGTGTTTCATTAACTGTCCAGACGGTGTAAAATGCTCCCTCTGTTAATAGAGTACAGCGAAATAATTAAAGATTAACAACAGGGGCTGTTACAACTTCCTTCAAAACTTAAACGCACGCTAGAGCAAGGCAGATTCATTCCTGCCTGGTGTGAAACAAGTTTTATTACTACAGTACAAAAGATTGTGAAACATTTTAACTGGAATCGTGGCAGAAACACAAAGCAGGCCTTGTGGTTCACGTTTGTCTTTGCAGAACAGCTCTAGTCTGCAACCAAACACTGCTGTTGCGTGCCATGTTCATTATCTTACTGGTGGTCATGGGAGTTGTTTTGTCTGCCCATTCCACTTGGAGAAACTCAGATAGGGAACCATGTAGCTCATCGGCACACAGCAGTCAAGGTTTTAAGAATCTAGAAGTCACAGCAGTGCAGACTCACTCCAAAGTCAGTTCTCTGGGACTGACCCTTGACAAAAATACTTGTACTGTACATGCACAGGAAAGGGGACTGTTTTCCATTTCTTAGACTTTTGTATGTGGCCTAAAAACATGCTGAGAGATTGGACTTGGGAAGACATATGCGTTCAGTCAACATGTTATAGTCTACTCAAGTTGTAACATATTGTCTTCATTAAGGTAAAAGTAATGGGGTTAGCTGATCCAGCATTTTTACATTTTTTCATGTGTAAACAAAGGTGGTTGCTTAACACTATTTGCTGTTCTTTTTGTGATTTCTAGGGTTCTGCTTCACCTCTGTGTGTTATTCTAAACACGCTGTGCTCCACACATGCTCTTTTTTAAAAGAAATATTTGCCATTGCATTTTCTACACAGCAGGCGTGTGAATGTGTAAATTAGAGATGAGTTTGGGCTTGTTCCCCACTCAAATCAAAACCTTATGAGCTGCATTAATTCATTCTCCTCTTTCTGTCTTTCTTCCCCCCTTTCTCCTCTCTCCTCCTCTCTTTCTGTCTCTCTCTCCCTCTAGATGGTGAGTGAGAAAGTCGGAGGTGCTGAAGGAACTAAACTAGATGATGACTTCAGAGACCTGGAACGGGTAAGAGAGGCATCTCCCTGTGGCTTAAAAGAGCAACATGTTTGGCTTCAGGCCTGGTTGGTTTTACACACAGTACACAAACATATTGCTGTTTCTTCGGTTTCCGTTGCTTATGTTTACACCTCATTTCAAGCATTACATCATGCTCTGTTGGTTTAGAAAATGTTCTGACCTCAAAGTTTATGAAACCTCTAAAGACATCAAAAACTCACGGCCATTAGGTCGCGTAGTGAAAGGTTTACCTTAGAGCCAAAACAATCAGTCGGTTAATCGTTTAGCTGAATCGATCAGGAACATTTTGATAATTGAATTTGAATTGCTTGGTAATTTTAAAGTTATTTTTTTAAGCACCAATGCCAAAATTGTTATAATGTGATAGTAATTTGAATATTTTTGGGTTTTGGACTGTTGGGCAGGCAAAACAAGCTATTTGTCACATTGGGCTCTGGGAAAACTTGTTTCACTATTTTCTGACATGTTATTGACCAATCATTCAATCTATTAATCCAGAAAATAATCAGCAGAATAGCTGATTAATAAAAAGGTGCAAAGCAGGTATATTTAAAAATTATAATAATATTAATGTCCGTGGGGATCAAAACCTGCTTTCATGGGGCAATATAATGTGAAAGATATTTAGTTTGGGGGGGGTACAATCAATCACAATGCCGGCTCAACATTGTGATGTCTGTCAGCCATCGGCCCAACCTTAGTTGCAGCCATAGTTTTCAACAATATGAATAAATCCAATATAAAGAGGTAATATACATGTACTGTACCCAAATGTAATGGGAGTGACAATAACTTATTGTATTTTTAAAATACTTTAACTATGTGCACGAACCTTTGAACGAGCGAGGTCAAACAATGGTTAACAAAGGTTAAACATCATACCTCCTTTGTCACTGTTGAATTTTAGTTCTGTGCTCATGGTAGCTCTGCTGTACACATGTGATGTCTGTCTGCTTGGTGTGTTATGTAGAAAGTAGATGTGACGAGTAAAGCAGTAGTGGAGGTAATCTCCAAAACATCAGAGTACCTCCAGCCCAACCCAGGTGAGAAGAAAGCCTTCCTTCATGTGTTTCATTTAAACGGCTTGAGCTCTTTGATGAAATTAGTTTCAATGCCCTTCCGCAGCATCACGGGCCAAACTGTCCATGTTGAACACCATGTCTAAGATCCGTGGTCAGGTGAAGAACCCAGGCTACCCTCAGGCCGAGGGGCTGCTAGGGGAGTGTATGGGAAAGTTTGGACGGGAACTCGGAGAGGAGACTAACTTCGGTAAGATGCGCGCGTGAGCGTGTTTGTGTGTGTGTGTGTGTGTGTGTGTTTTGTGGTTTTAGATTAGTTATTTTGGGTTATTGAATGTGCATGGTTGTGCTTGTGTATGCATGGTATACTTAAAATACTGACTGGCAGACTGTACGAAACTATTTACAGGTTTATGAAATGCTTTTTGACTGTTTTAAATATTGTATTTCTGTCTATTTGTGTCTGTGTGTGGTTTTCTTAGATTTTATCTGTTTCTTTATATGTGGTGTGGGGACTGCAGATGTAAATTAGCCTAAAGCTAACTCTGGTGTAATGCATCAAATGTTTACATTTATGTTATTAATTGCACATGGTCCCTTCTAAATAAAAATCAATCAATCAATGTGGTCTCGTGGTGCTATAACTCCGGTTCTATGCTGTATACTAATGTCACTGAGCTATTTATCTCTGTCTGTGTGGTTAAGGCGGAGCGCTAGTAGATGTTGGAGAGGCCATGAAGAGATTGGCGGAAGTCAAAGACTCCCTAGATATCGATGTCAAACAGAACTTCATTGATCCATTGCAAGGGCTCTGTGACAAGGACCTCAGAGAGATACAGGTACACTGACATGCTGTTTAATGAGAGGAGAATAACTGTATCTCAGTTCATTGGTTAATCTCTCCCATGGTGCAACACTAGAAGATACCAGTCAAACCAGCCAATCATCATTAAACAAGTCAAATTTAATTTAATGCAAGAAAAGTGATCACCTCTGTGCCCACTCCTAAACTAACCATGGCTCTTACCACCTCAGCACCACCTGAAGAAGCTTGAAGGCCGTCGCCTGGACTACGATTACAAGAAAAAGCGTCAGGGCAAGATCCCTGATGAGGAGGTTCGACAGGCCCTAGAGAAGTTTCATGAGTCAAAGGAAGTGGCCGAGACAAGCATGTACAACCTGCTGGAGACCGATGTGAGGACTGATTTATGACCGTTCACTGTATAGTATAAGCTTGATCAGGGGTTCTTCTGTTATCCCTTTCCACAGCTATAAACATAGCTTCTGATGGGTGAAAGCTAGTCATACTACAGTGAAGAACAAACATTTACATGCCTCAAATATACAATCTAAAATTACAATTCTAAGGTAATTACACTGTAATATATGAAACATTTCATCAGTTTCACTTTTGTATTGAAAGGCTGCTGACCAGTACAAACGCCCACAGGACAAACATTGTTACACCTGTAAAGAGTGACAAAACACACCTGTTCAGCACAGTAGTCCAATAACACTGGAGATAAACATCTCCTTAAAGAGACGCAGGTGACCAGTTATAACATGTAATCACTATTTGGGTTTAAGAATTTTTTGCCGTTTGCCCTGTACATAACTGCAGGTGTGTACACCTGTGGGTGAAGAGGCATGGGACAACTAAACAGCCTAAAGAGCCTATATGTGAGTGCGTGTAGGAGTAAATTGATTTGTATTTTTTTTGTTATACAACAGCACAGCAGTTGAGGGGTTAGTTTTAATCGAGGACTGGCTGAGAGTGTGAACATGGCCAGTGCTACCTCGGGGACGTGTCTGTTCCATATTTCCTGTTATTCCTCTAGTGCCAGCCTCTCTTATGTCATTCCCTATGACTATTTAAATACAGGTAAATTTAAGCGTAAAAGATCATTTTTGACTTTGGATATAGTTGTTTAATAGTAGATCTGCTTAGTAGCTTGAGAGAAGGGTTGAATGCTACAAATATATTAATTATTGTATCTGCAGTACAGCCTGCATGCTGTTACTGGGTCTTTGGTCTGGGCGTTGGGGTGGTGATGGGGCAGTGGATAAGACAAATGCCTTTGGTGTGAGAGACCTAGGTTTAATCCCCGCTGTGTGATAAATGTTAACTGTGTTATTTATTATTCAGAACTGTTAACAAATACAGCAATTTAAGCAAAGTGACAGTGATTATTTTGTGTGTGTGTGTGTGTGTGTGTGTGTGTGTGTGTGTGTGTGTGTGTGTGTGTGTGTGTGTGTGCGTGCGTGCGTGTGTGCAGATAGAGCAGGTGAGCCAGCTCTCCTCCCTGGTGGAATCCCAGCTGCAGTACCACAGACAGGCTGTGCAGGTGCTGGAGGAGCTTTCTGACAAACTCCGAGACAGGTGCAGTAAATGAAACACACACACAATACATTATCATTCTGTATTTACTGTGGAGGTTTAGAAATGTAAAACTTACTTTTTTTTTTTTTTTTTTGAATAGGATGAATGAGGCTCAGGCTCGACCAAGACGTGAATACACACCTAAACCCAAACCTATCTTTGACTTTGGAGACGACAACCATTCAAATGGCGGCTACTCATCCTCAATGGCCCTCCCACCTTCAAGGAACTCTCGTAAGAAACAGCTGATACATACATTTTTAAAATTCATTTGTTGGGACCGACATCAGTATTTTGTAATTTTACAACAAACACTTGAATGTAAAACATTTGAACTAACCATGATTGATGAAGTGGCTGACACTACTGTTTACACCAGGGAATAGACGATGTCTTGACAAAACAAAGAAAAAAAGAAACCCTCTCTTCCCATTATTTTGTATTTATCCTTAACATTACGTTACTCTCAAAGCCACAGTAAAGGGCAGCAATATGTGGAAAAGAGAGCTGCCATACCAGAGTTCCAACAACAGCAAAACAACCAGCTGTTTCTACACACACAGAAGACTTAGCCATAGTAGCGTGCCTGCACTGGACACACTGCTTTAAAAATCTGACGGAAAAAACTCTCCGCATTGCCAGCGTGATTGCTCAAGACCTGCAACCAATCAGCACCACTGAGCAGAAATATTTTAAACAAATTGAGTGTTGTTGTTTTTTCTGTAGTAAGATTGAGTTTTTTCTAAATGGTGGCATATACTGAATGTTTGTTGTTAACCATGAGAGTAATAGATGTCTTTTTTTTGGAGGGGTGTGAGTGAGAGTTGGTCCTGCACTGCCCTGTTTTTTAAACTTTTATTTAAGATCCTCATTAGTTATTACTGTAGTAACAACTAATCTTCCTGGACTCCACACAAAAGAAAGACATATTTAAACATCACATTATGGACAGTTCACAACATCAGCCAAACAAAGTGAAATAAAATAAGAGAAAATAGTGGTTCTCTTTTACTCATAATGACACATGAAGAGTAAATGGTTAAAACAAATAATAAGAGTTAGTAAGATAGGTGTATATAGTATAAGTAACTGCACGATTCTGTGTAAAGTTTAGCATTACGCAAGTAAGCACCAAGTGTAAGTGTAATCAACCTTTACATAATCAACCTAAACTGATTTCTTTCTGAATAATTGCTCTTCTTCTTGTTCTTCTTCTTATCTGACTCGCCTTTGTCCAACTGACCTTGTTCCTCTTCCCTGTGACATCATCAGAGCCAACTTTTCACTTGGCCAGATTGCCCTTTCAGAAACCAGGATTGTGTGAGTCACAGACAGCGTGGGCCATTTTTTCCGCCTAAATGTTGGTGCTGTTGAAATGGTGCCGTGTGCTTGCACGGCTTCTGGTGTGAAGTGTACAGGCAGAAAATAAGTTGCTTCTCACAGGTTCGGTACATAATTGGTGGTTTATGGTGCATGTTTAACAGCACGTATGTGGGTTTTTGTACTCACATCCTGTTATCTAGATACTGTATCCTGACATACTTAACATCTTAACATCTATCCAACCACCGGCTCAGCCCTGCGGTTGACTTTATTTGTTAACATAATCCTCTATTTATAAATACGCTGCTGTTTTTAGTACTACATTGAAGCCAATGCTTTGATCAATGGCAAGAGTATTAACTAACATGCAGGAAACAAGCGGCTGGTGCTATAATTATAATTAGCTATTAATGATTATTGTTAGTTGTATTTCAGAAGTAGCATTAACCTGTAAGCTGTTGGAAAGAAGCGATATTTATCTTTTTAGCTCAACACAAAGCCTCAATTTGGGTAAAATGAAGCACATTTAGTTTTTATGACCTAATGTTTAACTACTATTTGTTCTAACCATATTTCTGCGTTTGGGTTTTTTTATGTCCCACCACTAGGGCTGGGCTAAAAATGTTATCATGATAAAAACATTTCATATCATTTGATATCGATAATTATCACGAGAAATGTCAAATCATTATTTCAAGTTTATAGATGTGATTTTTGCTCCTGAGTGAATTTTGAAGAAACCAGATGGTTAATTGTGTGGTTAAACTTTTCTTTATGGTCAGAATGTGACAAACACTTGGTGCCAAACCGTGGAAGACTTAACAAATCTGAGGATTTAAAACTATTATGATAAAATCTTTTTTTTAACAAATGTGATTAGTAAATCTTTTTTCAGTCCCTTTTCCCCAACAAAAGAAATATATCAATAGAAAAATTAAGTGCTAATTTGTTTGTGATTCAAATAAATTTAAGCAAAATATTTATTGACAATATTTTGAACATTTACTAAATTGTTATTGAGGAAAATTATATTGTGATAATTATCATTATTGTTTTATTGCCCAGCCCTACCCACCACCATATTGCATAGTGGGCAGAACATTATCTGTGTTTTTGTTTGTCCATGTGTAAACTGATAATTATGAACCCAATCAATTGTGACCAAGAGTTGGACCACACTGAGTAGAACTGATTTGACTTCGGAGCAGCTTGCTGCATTTAGCACATTTTTCACAATGAAGAGAAACTGCTTTTTCTTGAAATGACTGTACTTATGCTATGATATAGTTATAATAATGTATCAAATGTTATAACAATGTGAAAGGAGTAATGACCCTACAGTGAATCATCACCTGCTATATGGAGCTTTATAGCCAGTTTCAGCTCATTATTTAGCTACACCACCTGCTCAGCATCAGACAGCAGACAGACTCAGTTAGAGACCAGTTGGTAAACATAACGGAGTGTTTAGCAGCTACGATAGCTACAGATATTTCCCTCAGGACTTTGGTGGAGATCAAAAAGAGAGCGAATGTAGGCGTCAACATTCATCAGGGGGCCGGAAACACAAATCTAGATGAATAAATAACTAGGGGTGAGGGAAAAAATCGATCCAGCATAGTATTTGTGATATTTGCCATGGCATTACTGTATCGATACACGGACGCCAAGTATCGATATTTTATTATATAAATAGCAGATGGGAGTTTTAACTTTTTGGTGCTAGAATAATAAAATCTATTGCTTTTTTAGTCCACTAGAAAACTTAACAGGACCATATAGAGGACTGAAAAAGTGATATGAACAAACAGAGAAATGTATCTTTTTAGATAAACAGATGTTGACAAAGTTTGACTTTAGGGACCTAATTGGAAGTTGGAAAAAGGTAATAAATTGCAATATATCTCAATATATTTAAAAACGCAATAAAATGGAATCGCAACATAAATATCGTGATAATATCGTATCGTGGGGCCTCTGTTGATTCCCACCCCTTATTGCTAATGTTGCTTATGTTTATCATATCTATCAAACTGTGATAATATGTCAATGTTGTTTTCCACTGGACCTTAGTGGCCAAAAAAGTGTTGTCATTGCAGGTTTACAATATGGAGTTTATAGTCAACTGTCAACATATGCTCATGTTCATTTATTGATCTATGTTTTGACCTTGCTATCATAACAGGTTAAGGAAAAAGACATTACCAAGAATTAACAATTCTCTTCTAAGAAACTAAATCAGTATCACAAGCAGTGAAGGGAAAGTGGGTCATAATAGCTTGTAAACTAATTATCAGTATTTATCCGTTTGTCAGTTTATCAAAACGCTTGTAAGACTTATTTTAAAGAGAGAACTTGCCACAAATTTCTTATAATATAACCTACCTTATAGTTAAATGCTATAATTGTCATTAAGTTGCCTTAGTGTTGGTTCTATCCAGCTAAGTGTTGACAGTATTTTTTTCTGCCCCTTGTAAATTGATACAGTATAGAGTAAAACACAGAGAATGAGTGAACAGAGCTTTCCCCATCTCCAGCCTGCCCTGCAGTCTGTGGGGTGAACTAGATACAATGAGAAAATTGTTTGGAGACAAAAAAGCCTAGTTTGTCTGTGTGTGGAGCCCCACTCTCCTCTGCTGATCTACGTGAGGTCACAGAGGGAGGGATAGATGGCGGAGGACTTTCATACTGAAACCTGGTGTCATAGGATGTTGTGGTATTTGGTCAAAGATTCAACTTGACAGCGCTCTTGAGCTAGTTTGCAATGCGGTGTTGAAGTTGATGTGACTGCACCACATGCTATTGTTACACTAACGTATATAAACTGTGTGTATGAAGTACAGTGTGCAGTAGATTACATGTTTAAGGTGTGCTGTGTGACAACCTTTTCCTGAAACTGTCTCTGCTGTTGCATTGTGCCTGACAGCATCTTGGACTCTGAGTTTTCCTTGTCTTCCTCATTCATTCTCTCCTTGTTTGGGTTTTGTCAGCCCCAGACCAGCCAAGCTGTAAGGCGCTGTACGACTTTGAGCCAGAGAACGAGGGAGAGCTGGGCTTCCATGAGGGCGACATCATCACCCTGACCAATCAGATCGACGAGAACTGGTACGAGGGCATGCTAAAAGGCCAGTCGGGATTCTTCCCTCTCAACTACGTCGAGATCCTCGTTCCGTTGCCACACTAATGTGTATATATAAAGAGAGCAAGACAGCCAAGGAGGAGACTGACGGAGAGGAGGAGAGAGCAAGTAGAGTTAGTAAAGAGGAAGGAAAGTGAAGCCCAGGGATGGTCTGCAGAATATTCATTTTCACCTTCAGCTCCAGCATCATCATCGCAGACTTTTTGTCATCTGGAGTTTTGGAGAAGACGGTCACATTTCAAAGTCCAGACCAGAATATCGACCTGTTCTACCCAAAGGTAAAAGGATCTAAGATGGACACAAAATGTCATTATCCGTTATCCCGCTGTCAGAAACATTTCTTGAGGATTAACTGAGCAATATTTTTCTTAAACCACAAATTACTTATATGGTTAAAAGACAATTCGTATTAAATCTGATGATTATGGTGGCTGTTGTGACACATTCATATCATCCTTTTTGTGTGACAGCAGTCTGTTTAAAACTCAGGTTGGTTAACGGTCACTTTTCAGACTGAAGACGCCAACTCGAGCCTTGAAGTAAATATCACGTGTAACTTGACTGAATATTCTCATATTCTCATTTCAAAACTCAGAGCTTTTTTTTGTGCACCGAACAAACTGGAGCCCGTCTCTTGATGCCATCTGCTGGCAAGATGGAGAATTACTTTTACCTAAACTCAAACAGATCTACACATGACTAGAAATGTAGTTTACCTAGTTGTTAAAAAGATTTTAATGAGAACCGTGGGCTGAAATTAGCCTCAGATTTGTGATTAGAACCGTTTTTCAGGTTTTGGCCCATTTGTAATGCTCTTTTTAAAGATCTGGGTCTTAGCTGTGCACTGATGATAGCTCCAGGAGACAACAGGCCGGATAAAGTAGTTTCCTTTGTATTGTCGCAGTATTTGATTTTATGTTAGTCTCAACCAACCACAGTAGTTTTTAAGAGTAGAACTGCTTTACCGAATGTGTGAAAATGTTGTAATTGCACCTTGGTCTTCAAAAGAGATTGACGTGTGTGTGTGACAGACTTACTCCACCATTACACATAGACCCAAAGTTAAATGCAGACGTTGCACCTTTTTGTCACTTAAGGCAGGCGTGTGTTTGTTGTCTAGAGATGGAGAATTATTATTTGTTTAGTGGGTGTCTGCTAGTCTGTTCAATAGAGGAGACAGAGCCAAAAAGTCTTTGAAAAATGCAATAGAAACATATCTATAACTATTCTGTAACAGCCATATATTCATTTAGTTTTGGGCTTGTTTGTCTTAGCATGTTACGCCTTTTATTCTGTCCTTTGACCCCTGTTCCAGGCGCACGTTAACTCCGTGCAGTGCCTGATTAGGTGACGCTGCAGGCAGCGACTCAGTCTTTCATAATTATCACTAACTGGCCCTTTTGTCTTTGAGAATGTGAAAGTCATTGATGCTTTGCAACTTATTCTGACCCTGTGACTCTGATGGTTTGCAACGGCTCTGATTCAATTGATTTGTTAGTACATCAGTAGACAGGTGTCGTTCCTGTTTAGTTAATGTGTGTAGACAAGGCCGGTTCCTTGTTCTGGATTTAGTTCCAGTCCACACTGTACAGTTTGAGGGAAAGACCTGGAGTGAAAGGGAAAAACATCAAGGGAAAAAATAAGTGTAAGCTGTCCATTTTGATTAATTTGGGATTACCAAACATTAATCTTTACCAAACAGTTACCATCAGTCCGGGGGGGACTGTTCATCACTCCATGCTTCCAAACACCCCCCTCCTGAGTTTGGTCCTTGTCTAATATGTTTACATCTCTGATCTTACTACATTTCAATGTTTGTATCAAGTTCAGGGCAAAGTTAAAGGACTAAAGGAGGTGCTGTCTGGATCACACTGTTATCAAAACAAGTCCTTGCTAGATAAGTTTTAGTGCCTTTGGAAAAGAAAGGAGGGGAAGTACTGCAACTAACACAGCAACCAAAACCTAACCTAGCTACTTAAGAACATGGTTAAGAATTTCTTTTCTACTTTTGGTTTTATTTCCAGCCATTGGCACTTTCCTGTGTAGAGACGAAATGCATGCGTGCACATTTCTGCACATTTCTGACACTACAGGCAGTTTCCTGGACATGTGTTGTTTAGACTAATGTGAGGTTTGTCAGCAGATCACCAGTGGAAACTGTTGGGGGTTTTTTTGTTGTAGATTTTAATCCATGTTTTAAAATAAGTGTCCCAATGATTTCTTTTTTTTAAAGGGCTATATATTTGTTTAATCAGTCTTAAATGCTCCTTTAAACAGCATTAAATCATTCTGGCTCCCTATAGTATTATTTTTTATATACAAGACCTTTAAACATTTAAATTAATCTTTGCATGTAGTCCTATATTACACCCCGTGAATGTGTCTTAGATATAAGTTGCCTTTTTACTTTTGGTATGAGTACAGAATTTAACCATAATGTTTTGTCTTTTATTATCAAAGTATTTGTACGTGCTTCTGTCTTGTCCCCTACCTCCCCCTTCTTACAATAAATAATAAAGAAAAATGTGTTATTATTGTGTTTGCTCAATAGTTTGGTCTTGTGACAAAAAAAATTTAACTTTTGCTAAAGTGACATTTTCAATACAGGACTTGTGGGCCATTTTACATAAAGATCTGAATACGTCCTTATGTCAATGTTATACATTATTTTTTAACTTCACTTAGTGTTTTGATCTCAGCAATGTTAGATTTGTTTACAGGGAGATACTATTGACTTTATGTGGAGCTAATTAGCAGAGTTTCAGTAGCCAGACCACACATCAATGAATGAAAAAGAACCTGATAAGACGAGCGATAAAGTACCATATTTCAAGTTTTGAAGGCCACTACCAATATTTTTTTATTGAAAGCAACCAAATGCAAATAGTACTGGTATTCAATGCCTCCGGATCTTTTGAGTTTTAGTTATTTATAACTTTAGTACATTTCAAAATTGAAATGAATGAACACTGAACATAGTAGGTTCAATAAGAGGTTTGAAAGGGTTCCGATTAAATAAACAGATTCAGATTGTATAAAATGCTATCAAACCTCAACCCTAATTTCAAAAGCCTAAAAATAATCCATAGATTTATGTTATTTCTTAAAAAGAAAACATCTGTGCCCATTAATATTTATCTGTGACCCTAAACATTTTAATTTCTAGGCACTAGTACCTACAAAGCTTAAATGTAAGTGTAGGGCCCTGCTGTCTGTTAGTCGGTCCAGCGCATTGGACCAGACTAAAATATCCTGACCGCTATTAACTGGACAGCTGTGAAATTTAGTCCAGACATTCATGGCCTCCAGATGAATCCTAATGACATTGATGATCCTGACATTTCCTCTTTCCTTGGTTTGTGAGCAAATACCTTTTAAAGTAATAACATTCACTTAACACAAAACTGAGGCTTTCCCCTGTCAAGTAAATGTTGCACGCATCATTAACATTAGACCTGCTGAATATCAGCATGGTAACTTTGTCACTGTGAGCATCTCACAGAGCTGCTAGCGTGATTGTGGACCTGTAGTGATTTAGAAGAAAGTCAACAAAGAAGTAAGTCATGTTTAAATTATTCCAGTGTGTATATTTTAATGCTCTGTGGATCATCAGCAGGCGTAAGGCATTGCTCTGTCTTCATACATGTACATCACACAATCCGCAGTTAGTAATAAATACAGTACAGATAAAGAGGAAGCAAATATCTGTCCTAACCAACAGGACTCATGTCTCACATAACCCTACATGGAGACAGTAGAGGGCACACACACACACACACACACACACACGTTCATTAAAAAAAAGTTGGCATGGCACAGTGGAATTACTTGCACCACACTGCAACTGTCCAATTTGACTTGAGGAACACAAACATTCACGAAACCTATTGCAGAGTACAGTTTAGATCAAACCAAGACACATTTGCATTCTTTGCTAATGTAGTATATTTTGTACTACCCATTTTTACCTTTGCTCCATTGGTTTAGTTATAAAGGCAATTACAACACATTAAAAGTCTACATTGTACTTATCTGCTCATACCACAGGATACTGGCACAGATAGGCACATAGGTCCATGTGTAAAAGGTAAAGAGGCCGGTCAGGCAACCTGATTTCTGGTCCACGAGATGCTTCTGTTTAGTGTCCATCTCGTTAGTCTCGTGTTCCCTGATCCGGTGCTGTCTGGTTTTCTGTGTCAAATTGTACACTTCTCACTTTTCGCCATTTAAAAATAAATACCATCTCCTGGGGCTACTAGTATCATAGGTTTAGCACTTTCAGTCACTTAAGTGTTTCTGAACTCACAATAATGCTGTGTCAAAATTAAGTATCACTCAAGCATGAGAGAATTCAAGGCATCTACAGGATATGTTTTTCAAGCAGGTTTCTACGTTGTACATCCGTCACTCCAGTCCTGTCAGCGCCACACAAAAGGGGGTTTGAAATGGAACGACTTGAGATGGCGAGCAGCCGCATGCGCGCATGCACGGCAGATCCACTCAGTGCATGTTGCTCAGCTGGCTGTAGACATGCTCCAAGATCTGAGAGTAGGCCTGGTCTTTGGGAGCATGGCAACTCAGAGAGCCCTGAGGAAGGAGACAGAAGGTTGTCCAAGTTAGGTTAGCTGCTGGCAAATAAAGGTATTTGTACTTTACTTGAGCATTTTCTTTTCATGCCACTTTCTTCTTCTACTCCACTACATCTCAAAGGGAAATATTGTAATTTTATTTCACTGCATTCCTCTGACAGCTTCAGTTACTTTACAAAGTAAGGTTTTTACACACAAAACATATGAACAGTTTAAAAAATGTGATGTTTTGTTATAAATTAAACTACTTAACAGTTTATACAAGTACTAAACAAAACTAGTACATTAGTTGACTGACATAAATTTAATTGGCAACTAGTCATTTAATGTAAAAACATTTCAGGGTTCCAGCTTCACAAATGTCAAGATGTGCTGCTTTTCCTTTTGATTATTTTAATGTATCTTTAATCATTTTGAGGTTTGGACTGACAAAACAAACATTGTGAAGGTGTCACTTTGGGCAATTGTGACAATGTTTCTCACAATTTTCAGAATTTTTACAACTGATTAATAGCGAAAACAATCAGCAGATTAATCCATAATAAAAAAAGTCATTAATTGCAGTCATACAAAATAGTTCAACCTCAACCAACTACAACAGTAAAATCCTGCTTTTACATTAATTCATAAGTAATAATAATGTATTGGTATAATAATGTATTGTTATAATATAGTATTAGTATAATATATACTAGTATAACAACTATATAATATGATACTTTAAGTACATGTTACTGATTACACTTACATACCTTTACTTAAGTAACATCTTCAATGTAGTACTTTTACTTGTAATAGGTTTTACAGTGAGGTATTAGACCTTTTGCTTAAGTAAAGGAAACAGAAAACTTCATCCACTACTGTGAAATTATATATATATATATATATATATTATAGTATTGTTTTGGCAATATTGTTATTACACATTCATGCCAATAAAGCTAATTTGAATTTGAATTTGAATAAATGAGAATACCATCAGTCACCTAATATCTGCCCAGGTATAAAGATTTCAACTGGTCAATAAATCCTACCTTGATCTTGTCCATCATGGTCGTATCAGGACACCAATACTGGCTGAACTGGACGAGGTCGGGAGCTGCCCTGTAATAGTCAACCAGGAGCATCTGTGGAGGAAATAAACAGAAGTTTTTAATAAGGATTTACAGTATTTACAGTACAGATTTCTTTTGCAGTATTTTCATAGGACTGAAGCTGCAGTATAAGTACCATCTCGTTAAGAACATCACTAGTGAGAAAGTTGTCCTGTACGTAGGTGACCTCTACAGCCACGGGGATACCATGGTCATTGGGCCGTTGCTGCAGGAAGGTAGATGATGCATACGTTTAGCAGAAATATGAGCACAAGTGTCTTTCTAAATTAGGAGTGTCAGTAAAGACTAAACTAAGTCACAAAGCGATGACATAAGAAGGTGAGTAGTTTAAATTATATTAATTATTCCTGTCCTCACCTCAGGCGGTGGTACAACCCAGAATGGAGTTATTGTGGACGCAACACCTTGATTGCCGTGATAATATGGTCCTGAAAGAGAACAAAAGTTAAAAGTGTAGTGGGGTCCACAAAAGACCCTTCTTACCCTTCATTATTGTCTGTTTTTTACCTTATTTTTTCTTGCAAAACAACAACACAGTAAAAATAACATTTCTTTTATCTTCATTTTTGTCTTCTTGAGGGCATCCAGCTGTTAAACATTTAAGTTTTCTATTACGATCAGTCTACTGCTGCTACACAACACTGCAATATTTATATTTTACGATCTCACATGCATTTGTTGCTTTCTGCTGACACTTAACCCATTATCTTTTTCCATTCTTATATAACTGTACTGCAGTTTTTGGGTAGTGAGATTGCAGAACTACAGTAGATGCACAATGACTATAAATGTATTGTAGATAGATCCACTATATCTCCTGCTTTGTTATTTACCAATACTATTTAATTTCCCTGCATGGCATAAATAAAGTGTCTTTTATCAAACTGTTTTCACAGCTCCCTGTGGAAGAGGTACTGAAAGAATTTCCCTGTACATATCAATAATCTATCACACCATTATAGTCCCACACTGTATATAAAGGCCCTTACCACAGATGATGCCCAGACAGGGCTGGAAGCCATTGTTTGAACCCTGCAGCCTCAGCTGATGGTCCATCTGGGAGTCGATGTCCTGCAGTGACGGCAGAGCTGGGCCTCGCGGGTGACTGTGGTACCAGCCCACCAACGACAGCCCGCGCATGAACAGGTTCTGACAGATCTGGAGCAGAGTCAACATGACAGGTGCTGATTAGAAAAAAAAAACTTTAATGTAAATTAATAATTTTGTTTGACTTGAGTGAAAGTAAATAAATGTGTACTACCACAGTAATTATTATAGATGTTGCCAGTTCACAGCGGAGCTCAGCAATAACTGGATATACAATTGTAATTGCTAATTGGAAAACCCCTTTTTGTGATATTGTAATTGTAACTTGCAGCTGAATTTAGTTTTGGCCGCTATAGTTAAGTATTCAAATGGATGTCCCAGTTGCAAAGTTTGAAATTGCATTTTCTATTCTGTTAACTGGTCGACTTTCCATGCTGAAAATTAATTGTAAATTATGTGTTGCTATAAATTTGCTAATATTACAGAACCTAAGGGGAAGGACACTATTTAAGATTTCACATTAAGATTTATCCCAGGACAGTTATGGCAGTGCATGTGATTTTGAGCCAGTTTTGTAAAACTGGAGCTTTGTTAAAAAAAGTTGATCTTGGTGGAGTTTGTATTCTAAGATTGTTACCAGAAATTAACTAGTATTTAAATGAAATTTAAGTGTAAAAAAGCTAAACAAAATTTTGGTGGTTAACACACTCAGCAAAGCAGTCAGTGTTGACTTCCCTGTAATGATAATTCAAGAGTGGGTTCTTTGGTTTCTGGCTTTTGGCA